TATATATATATATATATATATATATATATATATATATATATATATATATATATATATATATAGTGGTTGGTACGGTACAACCGTGGTATTCAAAATTTCATACCGTTACCGTACCAAGACTACTTAATTGGCATGATATATATATATATATATATATATATATATATATATATATATATATATATATATATATATAGGTTGGTACGGTACAACCGTGGTATTCAAAATTTCATACCGTTACCGTACCAAGACTACTTAATTGGCATGATATTACCAGCCAAACATATTGGCTACCAAACAACTTGGCTACCGATATGATTGGTTCGGTTGGTAACATGTTGGTTGGTTCTCTATGGTACATATTTGTCAGCCCTACTTACATATTGCGTTTTTCCTCGTCTTTTAAAATCATTTTTTTGTAAAATGATGCATGTACGCATGCATAATAGCTACGAGTTTTTCCTTATCTTGTGGACGTCCCAATTTGCTTGGTATGCGTCAGCACTCTTGAGGGCTCCAAATGATATTTTTATTTCCTTTCTAACTATTTCTTGAGCTGTTTTATATTTTATGCATTTTGGTTCACCTTGACATGTTTTCACAATCACAACATATTCATATATACCGTTTACAAGATAATACATGTATTTGTATGTCACTCTGTTTACTTCAAACGAACAATAAGATGCGGATCCATCACAAAAGTTGTGAATGTAGGTGACATGTCAAAAATCTTGATATCATTGTTTGAGTCGCCAGGACCAAAGTAGGCTTGCCCTTATGATGCAACTCCTTCAAATATGACCATGGGATCTATTCTTAATTTAGTTTATATAAGTTAACGTAGCCATCAGTTCCACAATTTCCACTTAAACCCATTTATTAATTTGTATTGCCTCATATTCCATGGGATCCTTACTCAATTTTTTCTTAAAAAAAACTTTAGTGGTGACATAGTTTTCACAAATCTCATACATCATAACACCTTAACTTTTCATTCATTGTCTTTTGCCCCTTTATGCTCAATTATATCAATATGCTTTCAAATTCTATTCAAATACCACATGGCTTACCTTTATTTCACCTCTCACATTAGTTTATCGCATATAATACAAAGAATATAAATGAACTTATAAATCAATAAAGTCTTTCATAAGGGACATAAAGGAATATAAATGATCTCATACATCACTAAAGTCTTTCAAAGTTCACATCTTAAACTCATCTAGTCATCTGTCAAATTCTCCACACCCCACAGGCCCATAAGGCCACAACTGTTTAAGCCAACAAAAATAATTAGATAAGATGGGCCAATGGCCTAATAATACCCCGACCACATTCCACCAACATAACAAGAAAGATCTTAGGCCCAACATGCAAACACGTCTTAGCACACCCGACTTCAATTTGTATTGAAGAATGAAGACCTAATGGATAACACTGTATGCGAATCTTTGAATAACATTTTATTAATTAGGTTAAATAGTAAGTTGTTGACTTATTTTTTACTAGTTTCCTTAAAGATAATTGCTATAAAGATTCAAAACGTCTCTAATGTCGTTTTACTTAAACGGGTAGTTAGCTTATTGAGAAAATATTTATGAATTTTTTTTATTTTTATTTATCCTTCTATCCGTGTAAAATTATGATATGTCTAATTTTGATAAAATTAATAATATTTGAAGACACTTATTATTGTTTTACATGAATAGGAGATAAGAACAAAAATAAAAGAATATTTAATTTCTCTTTATGAAAACTTGGTTACTATTATGTATGGGTGTTTTACAAGAGTAAATTCCAATTCTCTCACCACAATACCTAATTAATTCGTACCGACCATTTCCTTGCTAAGGATGCCCCTTTAACGAATAGCAACATATTTTGATTTTGTTATCAAAATATCACTTTTACCTTCAAAATTTCATGCTCTGTAATTTTAGTTAATTCATATCTAACCTCTTAACCAATGTGGCACGAACAAGAAACATTTACATAATCACATATGTTTCAACGATCTTAGAAAATACAAAATTAAATTATCTCGTCTTAGTTTTCTTGTGATAAATATCAAAACCGTCATAATAATATTTTATTATGTGCTTACCACCCAATTATAATATTTTATTATGTACTTACCACCCAAATATATTACCTAATATTAGACGAGGAAGTATACTCTCACTACACTATGCGCTGGAGCTGATGTTACATCATGGTGATCGTAGGAACCTTTCATCCATTGCTGTTTTCCCCGTGTGATGGAAAACCATCGCAACAATCTCATATTATCTTTTCATTGTGTCACATTTGTACAATAAAATATCTCATTGCTTTATATTATTAAAAAATGATAGGTCATTTCCTAGGTTAGGGAGTGATATGAAAAATACCCATATTTTGAGTAAGTAGATGAAAAATATGCTAAATGTAGTGACTATACACTTTTTTCTTAATAATATTAATTTCTAAAACCACGAACATATAAATGCATACGATATTGCCAGAAAAAAAAAATATTAAACATCAATGTCCTTTTGGATAGCTAGCTGTAGGGATAACTTATACAACTAGAAAATCGGACCGAAATCGGAATAACCGAAAAATGCTTAAACTGTCTGGGTATTGGGTTTAAAAATTAGTCTTATCCGGGTTCAAAGTATTTCAGGTCTAGGTCTAACGGATCCGGCTATTCTGGTATTTAGAACCGGATTTGTGGTTTAATGGTCCACAACCGATTTAGTGGGTCAAGTAACCGGAAATTGTAGGGTTATCAAAAAATGCACCTACCGAATCAGTTATTAAATGTTTTTTATTCTATTCCATAATTTTTTAATGCATTGTTGTTGAGTTTTTAGTTAGCTTTAAACTGTAATATATTATGAGTCTATCCGGACATTTTTTTTTAATTGTAGTTCAGTATTTGGCAATAGTCATAGACTCTAGAAATACCATATTTTGATGTGTACCGAGTCACTTACAACTCTCCAAAAATGAGATATCCGTTCTGTTTTGTTTATGTTACAACATTTTCTGAATTTATAGTTAGATTTGAACTGTCAAATCTACTTCGTTATAAGTCCATTTGAACTTTTTTTTAATTGTAGTTTATTGTTTGATAATAGTTATAGACACTGGAAACACCTTTATTTACACATGTATTGAGTCACTTACAACCAAGGTTCTAAATAACGTAAGGCGTGATTTGGCGGCAATGTCAAGCCTCAAGTTTTTCCGAGCCTTGGCGAGTCACGGCATTTATAAGGCGTGAGTTAAGACGGCAATTCTATATATAATTAATATTTTTATATGTATTTTCAACTATTATTCATTTTTATACAAATATATGAGTTAAAGCGACATTTTGGTAAAGCTTGGCGGCAGGTGCAAACCTTGGAGTTGTGGCGCGCCATGACGAGCTTTTTAGAATCTTGCTTACAACTAGCCCTGTCAAAAATACCCGTTATCCGAATTACTCACCCGATTTTTTCGGGTATCGGGTTAATTTTTTCGGGTAAGTGGGTAACCCGAATTTTTTCGGGTCGGGTAAAGGGTAAGTTGTTTGGGTTTCGGGTATACCCGATTACCCAAAATATATATAAGAAATAATGTCCCTTTATGAGTTTATCTAACCCTTCCAATTCCCAAATCCCAATTTCCTTCGTTGAGGCTCGTTCTAATTTCCCTACGTCAAAAAACCATCGTACCTCGTCCGCTCTTCGTTGGTATTCGTCACCAACGGATGACTATATTGAAGTAGAAGATGAGACGATTAAAGTTGACAACCCAACCAGTGATCAAGTTCCACAAGAAAAATAGAAAAAAAATAAACAAATAAAGAGTTCAACCCAAGATCGAAAGTTTGGAAAGAATACTTGATATCTCAAATATTATTAAGTAAAAAATCTCAATGTTCAAAGTTTAGCACAACATACTTATTTCATTACATTTATTTTTAGGTGCCATTAAAAAATAAAAAAATAAAATAAAAATCGGGTAATACCCGAATTACCCTTACCCGACCCATTACCCGAATTACCCGAATATAATTTGGGTAGGGTAACGGGTAAATTTTTAATATGAAAAATCCGAATTACCCGAAACCCGAAAATTTAACCGATCAACACCCCTACTTACAACCCTCAAAAAAATGAGAGATCAGTTCTATTTTTTTAGTTACAACATTATTGTTGATTTTTTATTTAGCTTTAAACTGTCATATCTGTTTCGTTATAAGTTAGTTAGGTCTGATTTTTTTTTTTTTTTTTAATAAATTTTTTAATATTAGTTCGCTGTTTGACAATAGTTATAGACTCCAGAAATACATTATTTGAATATGTATTGAATCACTTACAACCCTCCAAAAATGATATATCAAATTTTTTTATAACATTTTTTTTTTGGTAAATCGTTCTTTTACACGAGATGTGTTAACCCCGTAAGTAAAGATTTTGTAACTTGTCGAGCAATGATCCCCTTTCTTATTATTAACAGGTATTCGGGGTTACAATTTTTTTTTCTTTTGTTCCAAAATTTCGGGTTTCCTGTTCCATTTCCGGGTCCAATACACGAATCTGGTTCCAATTATCAATTTTCGGGTCCAACCGGTTCCTTACCATTATACCCATAATTGAACCCAATTGATTACCCTATATTGGTCTACTTCTTGATTCTTATAATCCGTTAATTATGGGTTCTAGGTTTTCTAGGTTCGATTTTAGACTCACTTTCATCCCGGGAAATTTACAGAAGAGTGAAAATTTTAGGAAAAATTTCAAGAAAATCCTAAAAGTTTTTTTTAACAGAAAAATTTCATTATATTGAGAAAATATATAATTTATTATATGCTATTTAAGTATAAAAATGATTTTTTTTAATTTGAATAAAAATATTAAATAATCAGGATTTTCCTATTAAATATTTTTTAAAGTTAGATTATTTTTTTTATTTTTTATTTATTTATTTATTATTTTTTTTTTTTTGCATTCTAAAACCATTCAATTCGAGTCAATCAAAACTACGAGGGTGTATGTGTCATTTTGCCCAAAGGGAGAAAGAAAGGGACATTGATACTCGACGGCTCGACCCCCACGACTCTCTCCTTCTCCGTCCCCTGTTTCATCCGCCGGTTGTTGGAAAATCTCCAAATCTTTTTCGCCGCCGACTACCTGCGGATGATTTCCGGCGTGAATTGTCTCTCAATTCCAGGCAAATCCTGATCTCCGTTATGCACACAGATTTGAATTCTATGCACCAAGCAAACGTATATAGATCTGTGGATAGAGAGCGGGGAGGGAGTGGAACCGTTAAGATGATACCGAGGTCGAGTTCTTTGCAGCAAGAGAAGATGTATAGATCTGTAGATAGGGAGGCGGTTGATGGCGGAAGCGTGTCGGGGTTACCGCGGTCAAGTTCTGCGCGTCATGAGAGAAAAATTACACGATCAAATCTTGTCGACCAGCTCAGAGAGTATCAAATTCGATCGAAACATGATTGGGCCTCCGTCTCATTCTTCTCCTCTACTTCAAATCTCTCTTCTTCCAGGTGATATATCTATTAATTTGTGTTTCTGTTTTTGTGATTTGATCATCTTTTGTACGGTTAGATTTTCGTTAATGTAGTTTTGTGCAAATTGATTAATTGTCTCATGAAGTATATGCTTTGTTTCCTCAATTTTTCCATCGTTACGCCAATACGAGATGCTCTTTGAGTTCTAAGATGCAAAGGTATCAAGAACATACTGATTTTAACCTCATATTCATATGAATGCAATTAGCTTTGAGAAAAAAGCAGATAACTGAATTGAAGTTTCACTGCAATTTGAAAACGGCGATGCTTTTTGGTGCCAAGATTGGCTTCATTCTCATTTCTTTATGCATGATCATTCCTGTTTCCATTTCATTTCCTTTTTAACTTGGTATTGATCTGTATATGCAACCTACAACAATTGTCATACTTAGTAACTTCTCATTGATTTTTCCAATGGCCTATGATGATGATGAAAGTTGTTGATAGAATTAAGTTATGCTTTCCAACAAGGAAATTCTTTTTCAAGATAAGATTATACTTTCCAATACAGAGATTCTTGATACAACTATAGTTGCACTTTCCAGTTGGTGATATTATTGATAGAAGAATCCTAATTTGGTATTTGCTTGGAATCTTTGTATATGTTCAAATGCATATATCTTGACATCTTGTTATTGTATCATACATTGTTGAATCTTTAAACAAAAAAATTGTCTGAAATCCTCCCTCTTTTGATCAACCAAATTTGCAGGGTGGACGTAGTGGTATTTGTAATATGGGAACTTGCAATTCTAGCTTTTTTCGTTTTCTCAGCAGTTGCATTATATTTCAGCCACATGAGACTTGGATTTGGTTTAGCAACAATCACATTGTTACTTCTATTATGTATGAAGCTAACAAAGCGAATAAAACTCGCCCAAAAAAAGAAACGAAGGATGCTTCTTCCTTTATCAATGTAAAAAAAAACCCTAATCTTTATAAATCCCAACACCTTTTCACCATTTTCATACAATCTTGGACCTTTGTTTTTCCTTTTATACTTTATCCTATTGGTGTAATTGGAATTGAAGCAAACAATAACAAAAATTACTACATATACATTTTTATTGTTTCTCACTTTGGATTAAAGAAATGGACCTCGACTCCTCGAGTAACTATTGTCCAAATTGCCCCCAAAACAAGTAGAACGCTTAAAATCATCCCTAGGCAACCAAGAATCCAATTGAGCCACCACATCTTGCTATAAACATTAGGTTTCTTGATGACTATCCACATAAAACACGGGTATGCTAAAGTCACGGGTAATGCAATGCCGCCTATGAGACCTGCGAGACTTGGTAGAAATGGTAGGGCAACTGCTACAAAGAAAGCTAGGGCACCGAAGAAAACCCGTGACCCGGCCCGGACCCACCATGGGCATGGCCCGTTTGTTTTAGTCACGTATCGCAGTTCTAGGTTGTCGAAAACGGGCATTGCGTAGATTTGGAAAGAGGTGAGACTGTTGATGATGACAAGTGCGCTTGTTAACCCTAAAATTGCTCGCGAAGTTGATTGACCGTGGTATTTGTACAATGCGTTTAGCAGTCCTCCCGTTGTCGGCATCTGTATTGACATTCATGCATTAGATACCTGTATGTTGTGCATTTACAGTGGTAACGAACCATGTGTGTGTGTGTGCGGATGCATGAGTAAGGCCGGAGGGGATGTATGGACAAATTTTGCTCCAAAAAAAAATCTTGCAATTTTGGTCATTGTTGAGGTTCTTATAACATTTTTGTTCCATGTTTTAAGTAAAATACCATATTTTTAGGGCCTTATTTACAAAATTAAGCTATAATTAGTGATGAAAAATCAATATTTACTTGAACCAAAAATCAAAAAATGTTACGAAGACTTAAAAAATGACTAAAACTGCAAAAGAAAAATATTTTGAGACCAAAATTACAAAAATTAATTATACCGGGTCAAAAAATAGTAATTTTATTTGGAAAATATCAAAAAGTTAAAAAAGAAAATTCAAATAAATATTAAAATTGCATAATAAATATTTAAGATGAAAATTACCAAATTCAGGACCCAAAAATACATTTTACTCAAAATATTATATAATATCATTGTGTTGACCCCAATTGAAATTTGGTCTAACATTTCTTACCATGTTACCGTAGACCCAATATCCACCGATTGCGAGAGGAAAGAGACACATTGCGATAATGAAATACGAGTATTTTACACCTTTCCACATGGGTATACGTGATGGTTGTTTTGGATTTGAAGGCATTGTACCCTGGAGAAATTAAAAAACATAGATATATTATCCTATGTTAAAATAAATTTTATGAAAGAAAGGTTTGAAAACGTATATTTTAACTACTGAAGATACAGAAAAAAATGCGAAAAAGGGTAAATGGTTTTTGTGATCAATGATTTGGGGACAACTAAACAATTATGCATCCTAAAGAATGGGAGAAAGTGCGACACATATCCACTTGGACCACTCCATGGAAAAAACACAGCACCAAACACTGGACTGGACTTTTGTGGGTCGTACTCAATGGAATCCACGTGATCCACCAAATCAGGGTTCACATTTCCTTTTCAATCATGAGTTTTTAAAAGAAAAAATAATGAAACTAACATATGTTTGTATATTTTCGATTTAGCAGTAAAAAGGTCATAAAAAATACAATGGTTTTTTCAATAAAATATCAAAATTTAAAGGTTTTTTCTTCAAATTACTACGTTTATAACTTTATTTAATCTTATTAAATCTTATCGTAGTTTCTATTGAGTGTGTTATGTTATTATAACCTTGATGTATATATTTTTTTTTGAAAAAAATAATATTATCTTATTGTAATATTATTATATTATATTAATTTGACAATATACAAAATTATCTATTTTCTGTAACTAACTGTTTGTATATAATTTTCTGATAGAGATTTTTTTATAGAACTATTTTTTATGATGTTCCCATGAAAGACATCAATTTGCCAGATAGATTTTTTAAAAGATTAATTATTTTTTGTAACAGGTGTATGTTGTTATTTATATTAGTTTTTTAGTGTAATCTTATTTTATAGTAAGATAATATCCATTCGACATAATGGATAAAATAATATAATATTATATAATATTACATGTTAGTTTACATTTCTTAATACTTTTGTATTAAATTTGAAAAAAGTTTCTGATTATGTGATACATATTTTTAGAGATGATAAAATTTTGAATATGAACAGTAACGTTCATAAGTTGGTTTGGCCGTGGAGTCTGATGACTTGATTTTCAAACTGTTTGCTTTTGATCATTCAACAAAATTTTTGGAGAAATTAAATAGTTTTTATTTTTTGTTTTTATTTTTCTTTTTATCTATTTAAAATGATGACAAACGTATAAATTTAACATCTTAATCAGATTTAAATTAAATTAAATGATTCTTGTTACCATCTAAATTGAGTAGGAAGATAGTAGGTATAAAAAATAAAAAAATATTTAATTTCTTAAAATTTTATTAGGTTAAGAAACTCTCAATTAAAACCTGAAAAGTGAAACTCAAACTTAAAAGCTTATAAGTTTTAATGTTTTAAATGTTTGAAATGATTAGATAAAGCAACTCTAATTGGTAGGAGTATTAAAGCTTTTATTATTATTATCAGAAAATTCCAATTGATATAGCACTATAACCACTGTGAACAAACAAATCAAGCTTTTTTAAAGGGGAAGAGTTTGTTTAGTTACATATGCCCATTTTTTTTTTTCAAAAAACTAAACTTTTGAATTTTTTATTTTACATCTTTATTTTTTTGGTTTTTTATGTATTTTTCTTTCCATAAAGCATATGTTAAAATATATAAAAGTTAAAAACTTCATGTACCCACATAATATTGTTTTTCAATGTTTTAAAAATGAAAAACATAAAATAGTTAAAATTTCCAAAACGACAACATATGAAATGTAGTTTTAGTTTTATCAAAATAAAAATATAAACATGTTTGAAACTTGATAACACTTAACACTACGTAAATATTACAAACCTAGAAACTCCATCATATATAGAATGTATGACACCCAAAAGTAAAATTGAGAAAATGTTTATGTTATAATAAAAAAATATATTCCAAGCAAAAGAATTAATGTGTTCGGTAATTTTAATTGAAAACAAAAGAATGTGTTCATAGTTTTAATTGCATAAAGTCTATCAACGTACCTGTATTTCAAGCACCAAATTATGACCTCGAAAAGCAAATGCAACGATGCCAAGAGAATTTAAAACATCACAAACCCTAGCAACTTGTGACACCTCCTCTAACTTCTCATACGATACACCCGTGGGCCTCCCTTCAACAACCGACACAACCCATATAACAGTACAATATGATACCGAAGCAATAGCTCCTATCAGTGAAACCCCTGCAATCGAATTCAAGTTCGGCAGTTGTGTTAACACAACTGCCGAACATGTGAAAACAAGGTACCACTCGATCATCGATAGAGGTGTTTCATTATTTTTCTCCCATGTATTGTCAATGATGGTGTTGAAAAGAAGTTTCATGGTGGCTCCCCCGATCATGATTAGGGTTATGCATGTCCCACTTGAAAGGTAAATTGTCGGTAATAACGTCATGAGCTTCCCTAATTTCTCTCCTAAATGACATAAAGTTCAATTCATGTATTAGTCCTGCCTCCAAAAAAGGAATTAATGACAATTTACGTGACATTTAACAAATTGACTACAATGCTAACATAAATTTCATAAATGGTGAATTACGAATCACGAAAATGCTTCACGTACCACAAAATTAATACCTTTATAAACATTAAAAAGTAAACAAAAATCTTATTTCCAAATCAAAGTTGCAAATTTTTTTTTTGTAGTTGTTTTTAATGTTTTTGCAACCTTTGTGGTAAAAGCTAAATTTTGCAATTAACCTTAGTTGTTAAATTTGGTAACCTCGTTTTGTGATTAACTATATGTATTATCCCTTCAAAAAGGGTAAAAAAATTGACTCTTGTACAAAAAATTGTTTTGTTTTTGGTTGAGGGTTAGAATTAGAAAAGTGAAAGTGAGGCATACCAAAAGCAGCCATGGAAAGCCATAGATATCGGCTGTATCGAGTCCCAGAAGAAGATTCATGGAGTTGAATCAGAAGCCAAAGTGTATACATTTGCCACACAAAAACTACTGACAAACTCATTATTCCCCAAACCCTACAAATCGTTTCACAAAACGCATGTAAATAACGATGAAAAATAGCGATTGATTTTGGTTAAAAAAGCGAGAAGTGCAGAAGTAATTAAGCTAACCACCCAAGTGCAGTGAAGGCAAGGGGAAGAACAAGAGCTTGAACTCCGATTCCAGAGCTGAGGGTATGGAATGCTGCATAAAACGCGTTTCCATTCCTTGATTCAGTTATAGGAAGCCATTCATCATGTGGGTTGAGCTTAGTGAACTCCAAGTAGCCTTGCATGCTTGCCATGGCCTTCTTCATGGGGCTAGCCAACGGTGTCATGACGCGAGTGATGAATGGGCTTTTAGGTGTCATTGGAATGGAATTGGCTGGAGAAGGAGAATGGAATTGGGATGGTGATGGTGATGGAATTGAAAGCACCGTAGGAATTACAGGAATACGAGTTTCTTTATTTGGGTTAAGGTTACTCATCTCTCTTCCCATTATCCCTTACGATTCGAACTCAAATTAACCTGTGTGTTTCACAGTTTCACTCGAGCAACAAATTAAAAGCAACAAAACTTGAACGTACGTGCGATGTGGATTCAGATTGAAAGTTGTGATCGTGGAATGTTCAGTTCTTTTCTGTGTTAGTTTGTATGGAGTATTGGGGAGGTTGTGGAAGGATCACATTATTTATAGATATAGAGTGAAAAGGAAGGGAAATGGAGATAAAGGAAATGCATTAAATTTAGGCATATTATAAAATATAATCGACTTGGATATTATAAATTTCATGTTATTTAAAAAATAAATAAAATGTGAAAGGGCTATAAAGCATTACTAGCCTTTTGACTGATTCATGGCTGCTACTGGTGGTGATAGCCCTTGTCTTTGGTTACTTTCACGTGAAGTTTCACCATGCAACTAGACGTCTTGATAGATTATGTTTATTTATTTATTTATTTTTCTGAATTGGCTTTTTTTTTTTTTTTTTTTTTTTTTTTTTTTTAAATTACTAAAAAAAAGTAAATTACAGTTTTTTCCCTAGTGGTTTGGTTAGAAAAATACATTTAGTCCAAGATTTGAAATATTGGTAAGGTGAATCCTTATAGTTTTAAAAAAATTATAACCCCAAGGTTTCTGGACATATAAAAAGACTACTTTACCCTTTCAAATATATATTTTTTCTTTTGTCTTTTACTCAATTTTAATATTTAATTATAAAAAAATAAAGACCCACCTCTCCTAGCCCATCCTATTCTTCTCCTTCAATTCGTCACCTGCCATCCATCATCGCCTTTGGCTTTCCGCCTCTAATGAAATCGTTATTTTCACCCGTGATCACTACAAGAATACGAATCTATGCCGACGACACCTATACCCACGACGGTTCTCGTCGCTAAAAGAACCCCTATGCCGACAACCGGTTGTCAGCACACCCTTTGCAAACTTTGACTAAATTTCTTTGACCAAGACATATGTGCCTACGACAAGTCGTCGCTACAAGTTTGGCGGGAACGAAAAGAATTTCGCGGTATTTTGAAACTCTGTATCGACGACTTGTCGTCGGGATAGGTAACGAAAAATAAATTTTCTATTTATTTTAAATACATGTTCCAGAAATACAGTACGCCGTCGTTTTATGTAACATATGCCAACGACATGTCGTCGAGATAGGTTGCGAAAAATAGATTTTCTATTTATTTTAAATACATGTTCCAGAAATACAGTACGCCGTCGTTTTATGTAACCTATGCCAACGACATGTCGTCAGCAAGCCACGTGGTAATCCGCGTGAAACCCTATCCTGACGACAAGTCGTCTGCACAGGGTTTTATTATTTATTTATTTGTTTATTTATTTATTTATTTATTTTGGTTTCAGTATAAATGAAACGACACTGTTTGTGTGGACCCTATCCCGACGACAAGTCGTCGGCATAGGGGTTTACCCTAAGATATATGCAGTCAGTCCGTTCATTCGATCACAGTCACACTCCCTCTCTTCTCTCCGACGAAAATCGTCTTCAGCCTTCCATAACCGACGATTTGCTCTAGGTAACATGATTTCTACTCATAATTTGTTGTTTATTGTTGTGTTGTAAAGATTTTTACCCTCAATTTGTTTTTTTTTTTGGTGTTATAGCTCTCCACTGGCAGTGAAGAGGTTTTGCTTCACCACTATCTTCCACCACCCTCAACCTCCCACCAACGAATCCAACCTCTTTCTAGCTTCTCCTTCACTGCCACAATAGGTAAGTAAGTAATATGGTAGGTTTTTTGTTTTTTTTTTTTTTGTTTTGTTTTTTGTTTTTTTTTTTTTTTTTTCTGATTTTGTGTTCTTCGGGTGACCACTAGCCATCATTGGAGGATCATTATCAATTTTAACAATAAGATTCTCGCTATCACAACAAGAAAAATGAAAACGGTTAGTATTTTTTTTTCTAATTTTTATTGAAGTTGATATTGTATATACTAGGTGTGAGCCTCATGTATTACATGAGCGTATTTAAAACAATTAAATATGTATAAACATTTGAGAAATTTGAATTTATAAGAAAAATGAGAAAAATATTGAATTACTAAAAGTAAAGTGTTTTTTTTTTCTCTTTTAAATTTAAACAAATCATTTAGATAAAATAATCAAAGCAAATTAATGAGATTTTATTTTAAAAATTTGAAATTATAAGGAAAGTCCATTAATGAAATTGATATACATTTATTATTAAATTTAAATACCATATGGAATTTAATAAAATAGGAAAACCACAAAATTACATATAGAATAAAAATTAATTCAAAATAACCACAAAATGACATGTGACAAAATGAATGAGAGTGTGACAAATGATAAAAAAAAACATTCATTTATTAGAGAAGATGTATAAGTTTATATGAAATTGAAATTGAAATTAATCCTCCTATGATTATAGAAATGTGTTGTTTGTTTGGTATGTGTATGATTGTGTTGTTTTTTTGGTATATGTATGTTGTTTGTTTGTTTAGGTTTATATGAAATTGAAGTTATATGTATAAAATGTTAATTTAGTTGGTTAATGTTATATGAAATTGAAACTTTGGTTAAAATACTATATGAAATTCAAATTTGTTTAGGTACATATGAAATTGAAATTGTATGTATATAATGTTAATTTAATTGTTTAGGTTTATATGAAATCGAAATTTTGTATGATTGTGAAATATGTATGCTTGTGCTTTTTGTTTTGGTTGATATGAAATTTTATGTATAAAATGTAACATATATATGGTTGTGCTACTTGTTTAGTTTATCAGTTTGAATGAATGAAGTGATAAAGTGTTTAATTTTTAAGTTAAAATGTTTGTCATTAAGAACAAATGTTACTAATAGCAACATAAAACAATATATAAATATATTTAAATAAATAAAAGTATGTTTATTGAGAATAAAGTTTACTAAGTAAAAAATATATATTTTATTTTCATTTCTATTTGATAGTTATAACATAAAACAAAATAATAAAACTACGTTGCTATTAAATGTAAGGTGCCATAATAAAACAAAAAATATATATATATTAAAAGTACAATGCTGTAATTGAAAAAAAAAATGTATATATACTTTAAACAAACTAATAAAAGTACATTGTTATAAAATTACATTGACTCATTGTGGGTTTAGAAGCCTACTGAAATGAATACTCTATCAATTTCGTTTGATTTTTACTTCTAGGTATATATATTTCTTTATATACTTGTCAATACTCTATCAATTTCGTCCGTTTTTTTCTTAAACAAAAAGTCATGCAATACACATTCACATATAGCCAGAATACAATTTACCTATGTATACAATGTAATTTTTAATAATAAAACAATAATGACGATCGATAAGAGTTGGATTCGTGAAATCCAAATGTCCCCAAAATTCTTGTAAGGTCTTAAAAACTTTATGGAGATTTCTAGGAAAAATGTTGACTCTGAAGAAAAAGTGTGTTGTTCGTGTGTAAAGTGTGTGAATATGTATCGACAGTTGTTGAGTACGGTTTATGCCCACATACATGACCGTGGGATTCTAAAATCGTATACTATATGGATTTATCACTGTGAGAAGCGTCATGTTTCGGACTTGTGCTATAATTCCATTCCAATAAACGTTCCAACAACTAATGAGATGTTTGACGTAATTGATGATGTTATTGCGGAACAAAATACAAATGAAGAAAATACAGATGATGAAGGACGAGGCATGTACCCAGAATTTGATGCTTTGTTTGAGGAGCTCAATGCCGAGTTATACCCTGATTGTGAGATGTCTTATTTAAAATTTTTGGTGAATTTTTTGCATATTAAAGTGATCAATAAATGGACAAATAGATCATTTGACCAAATTGTAGAGTTTCTAAGAGTTGCTTTCCCAAAGAGCAAGATTCCAACTTCACACTATGAAGCTAAGAAAAAGTTGAGAAAGATAGGGTTAGGATATGAGTCCATCCATGCTTGCAAATATGATTGTGCTTTGTTTTGGAAGGAGAATGATTCCATGCAGAATTGCCCGATTTATAACGAGAGTAGATGGGTGGACACAAATACAAAGGGGAAGCGAGTACCACAAAAAGTGTTGTGGTACTTTCCTTTTACTCCAAGACTTCGACGGATGTATAGTTCCAGATTCACAGCTAAAAATATGATTTGGCATAATAATGTAAAATCAACGGATGGTATGATGTATCATCCGGTAGATGGGAAGTCATGGCAAGAATTTGATAAGAGATATCCAGAGTTTGCCAAAGAATCTATAAATGTTTGTCTAGGTTTAGTTGCTGACAGCTTTAATCCATTCGGCAACTTTAATAACAATTATTGTATTTGGCATGTTATATTGACTACCTACAATACACCACCATGGATATGTATGAAAGAGTCTTCTTTCATGCTAACTTTGCTGATTCCTATCCCTAGATCACCCGCAAAGGACATTGATGTTTACTTGAGGCCTTTGGTGGATGAGTTGAGCATGTTGTGGGCTAAAGGAGTCTAAACGAGAGATGCATCAACCAACACTGTATTCAATATGCATGCGATGTTATTATGGACTATCAATGATTTCCCAACACGCAACAGTCTATATGGATGGAGTGGTCAAGGTTATTTAGCATGCCCTACTTGTAACAAAGACACATCTTCCATTTATGTGACCAACAAGATGTCTTATGTTGGTCATAGACGATTATAAATCATAGTTGGAGGGAGAGTCTATTGTTTGATGTTCAACCTGATACAAGACCACATCCTACGATTTAGTAATGCAACTATATTAAAGCAAGTAAATTGTCTCTCTAATCGAATTCCAGGGAAACATCCTGATTATGGGGGTAAAAAAGAAAGCGTGATGATGAAAGAAAAAAGAGAGAGTTAAATTAGACGAAACGAAGTATCTTCTTTGAGCTTGAGTATTGGTCTTCCCTCGACCTAAAACACAATTTTGATATTATGCATGTTTCAAAGAATGTGAATGATAGTGTGTTGAATACTGCACTGATGAATGATAAAAGCAAAGACAAAAAAGAAGCAAGAATTGACTTGAAAAATATGGGCGTTAGACCAGATTAATGGCCAAAAGAGAAAGTCAAGAAGATGAAGAAACACAACAAGGAAGAAACAAGAATAAAGACATACTTGTAACAGCCCGAAATCCAGGTATTCTTCTTTTGGCATTGCATCTTGGTTAAGTTGTTAA